AGATTAGTTTTATTGGTTCTCCTTTTTAGGTAACTTTTCATTTTACCATGCTGCTTTTGGGATTCTTTCTTTCTCTTTGGTTTTGATGATGATATGTCTTGGTGATTTTCTTTTGGGGTCTATCTTTTTGTGGTTCGTTGGATTTCCTTAATGGATATAGTCTTGTCTTTCATCATGTCATGGAATTTCTCTTCCAACAAGTCTTCAAATATTTTCTCTGTGGCTTTATTTGTCTCTTATTTATTTGTTCTGGAAGACTAAGGTGAGCCTAATACAAGCTATGGTATTTTCAATCGCCTCTTATGAATGTGAGAGCTGGACAATGAATAAGGAGGTACAAAGAAAAGTTGATGCTTTTGAATTGTGGTGTTGGAGAAGAATGCTAAGAGTACCATGGTCTGATAAAAGGACAAACAAATCTGTCCTGGAAGAAGTGCATCTAGAATGCTCCTTGGAAGTGTGAATGGCCAGACTTCATTTCACCTACCTTGTCAGAAGGAACCATTCCCTTGAGAAGGATATCTTGCTTGGTAAAGTGGAGGGTCAATGAAAAAGGGGAAGGCCCTCAATGGTATGAATTGACACAAGGCTTGCAACAATGGGCTCAGGTATAGCAAGGATCATAAGGCAGGCTGGCACAGGATTGGGCAATGCTTCATTCTGCTGTGCACAGGGTCGCTATGAGTCAGAGATAACTCAACAGCACCTAACAACATAACAACATTGATTCAAATCTACTCCTCTGCCCATTCAATATGTTATCTATTTCTGAAAATTTAGTATTAATCTTCTAGATATCCATCTGTAGATTTTGTATCATTTCTAATTTTTCATTTATTTGGTCATTTTCTTCTTGTATTGTCTTCCAAAATTATTTGAGGGTTTTCTCTGTGCTTTCCTCAATTCTATCAGTGTTTTCCTTGATCTGTGTCTCTCAATCCATTGACAGTACCTAAATATAATTCTTTTGAATTCCTTATCAGGTAGTTCCAATGTTGCTTCTTCCTTCAGGATGTGTTTTGGTCTGTATCCTGATCCCTTGTTTCCACTGCTTTATCTTGTTTCTTTGTGTGGACTGTGATGGTCTGTTGTTTCTGACACATTGTGATGTTTTTGTATTTATATTTAATTGGCGATTGTATGTTGGAGTGATTCATCCAAGATTTTTGTTTTCTTTGTTTTGTTCAGATGTATCTGAGTAAGCAGGGTACTGTGCTCCTCTATTTGCTAGTTGGCAGCATTTATGCACTCATCACCTGTCTCCTTTCCAGTCTTCAGCCTCCCATATGTCCGTGCTGTCCTTGGCAGTGGAGCCTATTCCTAGGTCCCTGGAATTGGAACAAGAACACTGTCACTTTAAATACCTAAAATGGCTATCATTTGTAAACATTCAAAATGGCTGTGCCCTCCAGACAGCCAAAAGTCCACAGCTCAGTTTGTCTCCTTCTTTGCTGTTTTTCTTTTTAGTCATCAGCCACCAGTGCAGTTGTCCATGCAGCCCCTGGTAAGCAGGGCCAATTGTTAGGTTAATTCTCAGGCCCTAACATCATTTGGAAATATTCAAACTGTCTGGCCCATCAGGATTGCTGACAGTTCACAGTTCTGTTTGTCTCCTCACACTCTTTTAATTCAGGTTCTTCTACTTTGTTGTTGTTGTTGTTAAGTGCCATCGAGTCATTTCTAACTCATAGTGACCCCATGCACAGCAGAACGAAACACTGCCTGATCCCGTGCCAGCCCCACAATCCCTGCTATACTTGAGCCCATCATCGCAGCCAC